AAAAACTCTGTTCTAGCAGGAAAGACACAGCTGTATTTGCAGAATGAAAACGTCGTTTTTTTCCGAATGTTTCTTTATCTTAATCTTTATCAAACACTTCGTGAACTTTGCTCACAAAATTAAGCGTGTGAATTTATCCAAACCTAAAGTAGCTCGCTAGAATTTACGTTTTTTTTCCATCATTTTCCAGAGTATGTTATGTGATTGTTCTTATATTCGTGTGAAAATTTCTCCAGTTACTAATACCTTTTAGTTAAATAGTCTTGAAATTATAAATACGGCTGTTTTTGTTTTTGCGTTTTCAGTTTCGGGCAAGACATGGTTCACACTAAATAACGGGAGTTTAATCGTAAGCATGAACATTTTATTCATTTCTTTACTCGTATCTTTTTGAAGTATAAACTGCGTTATTTGCCCTGATGAAAACGTCGTTTGCTAGAAACCTTAGTTTAAATTATCTTTAAATAATCGTCTAAATACATTTGGTCTTGTGTTTCCAGTTTGGTGTTTTCGGGCAGGACATGCTTGGCTCAGTTGCTGGAACTATCTGTGTAAGTATTTTTTTTTTAATTTCATTTTTATTCGTTCACACTTACTGCATCATATTGAAGTACAGTATATACTCAAACTAGACGATATTAGATCTCTCCACGGTAGAAATGGTTTTGAGACGACAACACTGTAGGCCTGCTGTTTATTGAAAGCAATTTCTGCTTAAAATGCCATCACTTGAGCTTTTTTAATATGACTAATACAGATTCATAATAAACCGTTTTGGCTTCCAAATTGGATCACAACAATTAAAACAACGGAGCCTATAAATATTTGGATCGAGTGTTCACGCGTTAATTACGTTGTTTCGGAAAAAGAATATGCTAATCAAAATGATTATCGTAAATGAAGTCGTAAAAACACATTAGAATATAGGAGTTTTTATCTACTCGATACACATGTAGCTGTATTGGATGTGTTGTGCCTTGGGTATTTTGCACACTTGTAGTGCACACCTGAATATTTCCCGTTACATCAGGCTAAACGCTTTATTCCAACACTGTCTTTTTAAATTGTTTTATCTTCCGAACCTGTCAGTCAATACAGAAGCTCGATCAATCCTGTTTGTAACACAAAGCACAGCTAATACTGATTTCTGTGGTTTTGCAGGAAA